GCTAACTAACATAACTAACACTGAGCAAGCTATCAATAGACCTCAGGAATGTTAGGTTGGTGGGCTGCCCAGCACAGATGCCCCACCCTGAGGTAAGGTACCGTCCCATTCTTGTGGTTACCTACAGGCTATTCCTTGGGTAGGGAAGTTTTTGGTTTACTTATTGCTGGAACTGGTGACCTACAGCCTAGTTCCTGGGACTGATGACTTTTTTTGGTGGGAGGGGGGCAGGGGAGTCAGGCCTGGCCCTCTCACAACTAAGAATTGCTCAGACCATCCAATACCATCCTTGTGCTTTAGAACCTTTTAGCTCACAAGGATCCTGAAAGCCAGCTAAATAAATCTAGAAAAATCCCCACTCCTCTCAATTGGATCTCATATAGTCCAGGATGCCCTTGAACTCCATATGTAGCCTGGGCTAGCTTTGAACTCCTGATGCCCTGCCTCCATCTCTGCAGTGCTGGTATTGGCTGCAGGTGTGCATGATCACCCTTGGCTCAAGAGGATTTTTAATCCCACTGAATTGCATTCCCAAAAGCAATTTATTGGGAAGGCTAGCCACTTCTTGCTGAATTAGTTTCTCTCAAGGCCAAATTCTTTCAGGATAATTTCTCAAGTTCCTAGAATCACCTGGGAATTCTGGCAAGTTTCTTTTCAAACTGTCCATGCTCTCCTCACCTCCCTAAAGACTCTGCTGACCCTTGGGGACAGTATAGATTTGAAACTATTTCCCCTTTGCTGCCAGTTCCCACCTCCATAATGACTTTGGACAGTTGCCTTGAGGTCAACCCCATTGCTGAAGTTCAGCTACTTGCCACCAGCTGACCACAAATGGGAGTCACATAAAGGGCTCTGACACAAGCCCTTCTGGTGCTCATGGCAGACATCACTAATCAATGCAGCACCCACCGAGCAGACATCAACAATCAATATAGTGCCCACTGAAGCACTTGCAAAAGGCTTCTGGACCCTTCTCTACACAGTGCTCCACACAGCCACTGCTACACAACCAAGGGATACCCAAAAGACACCTAATTTCCATCCTGAAAAAGACTGACCCCTGTCCCCAGCAGGGGACATGCCTACCAGGCCAAGAGTTTTCATGAATGCTGGGGAGTCCTGAACAGGCGAATTGTTCTTTTCTCTCGATCAAGGTGGACGCTGCGATGTGGTATGGAAGTGTTGTCCCCATAGCATGGGGACACGCCTTGGCCAGACATTCATTCCATCTTCCTGACATTAACGTTTTGGAGCATCCTGGGAACATTTTAGTGGGATTATTCATTAATCCCCCTGACACATGGCCTGGGCTTCAGAAACGTCATGCCACATGCCTGTCCCTGGCTCTGCCCACTGGAAGAGGCTGTGGCCCTGGAGATTTATAGGAGCCAAAGGCATCCTTGGTCTTCTACAGACACTTTAGCTGGGAAAGGAAGTAAGAGAATTCAGAGCTATGAGCAAGAGTTAGGGGAGAAAGATGCAGGGGAAGCAAGTATTGTGGGCACATCCTGGGCCCGGGAGGCCCTGAGCATCTGTTCAGTTTTTGCTCCCTTTGAGACAGGGTTTCTCTGTGTAGCCTTGACTGTCCTGGACTTGCTTTATAGACCAGGCTGGCCTCAAACTCACAGAGATCCTCCTGCCTCTGCCTCCCTAGTGCTGGAATTCAAGGCATGTACCACCATACCCAGCTGCAGTGACTTTTCTGTTAGATTCAGAACAGGCCGGGGTAGGCATGGGCTAAGCTGGTAGAGTGCTCACCCAGCCTGAACACACACACACACACACACACACACACACACACGAGATCTTCAAACTAAGTGGAAGCTTTGTACAGTCCACTCATTTATCAGACATGAGGAAACCATGAACCCCACTTACAGGAAGGACCTGGAGCACCAACCTCCCAGCCTGAAGCTGAACAAACTGGAAGACCAGCTCTTGCTTCCCCTGTGTTCTGGAACCTTCTAGCTATCAGACTCACATTGAGATTCTTAAAGAAAGCCATGTGAGTAGGTTACTTCTCTCCTCCTTTTGAGACAGTGTTTATACGTAGCCCAGGCTGGCCTTGAACTCCTGACCCTTGGGCTTCCAGCTCCCAAATCCTGGAATTACAAGCATGTACCAGGACACCTGGGGGCAGCTTCTTCTCCTTCCTCCTCCATCTTCCTTATTCCTCTTCCTTCTTGTCATCGTCCTCCTCCCCTCTTCCTCCTCCTTCTTTTAAATGTTCTTTCCCAGGAAAAAGAAAACAAGTGCCTTGATCCAATTCTGACGGCCTCCAACCTCAAGATGTCCCTTAAGGACTCCATCCCTCACCCTGACTTCAGTTCTCAGTCTTGAAAAACAACTATCTTGATTCGATGCAGATTCTCCAAGAAGGATTCCTTACAGCCAGGATACCTGGGCACATCCCTCACACTGTTTAGACCCACAAGATTCTGCAAAAGCAGCTTGTTACACACACACACACACACACACACACACACACACACACACACACACACTACTGAAAAAGGCACTTGTGCACAGGGCCTCAAGTGTCACAGTTCCTTTGGGATCTACCAAGGAGGATCCCAATAAGGCCAAGAAGATTGTACGTGGGGGGCTGGGGAGATGGCTCAGCTGTTAAGAGCGCTGCATGCAGGGGGCCTGGCTTCAGTTTCCAGAATCTACATGCTGGCTCACAAAAGAAAAAAAAAACCAAGGATTTTGTTGTTGTTGTTGTTTATTTTGCAAGACAGGATCTCACTACTGAGCTCTGGCTATCATGGAACTCACTCTGTAGACCAGGCTAGCCTAAAAAAAAACACAGAGGTCCAACTCTCTTTGCCTACTGAGTGCTGGAATCAAAGGCATGCACTGCAACACCTGGCTGACAAAAAAAAAAAAAAAAAAAAAAAAAATTAAAGACAATGACACTTTTTTGCTGAGGACTGACCTCTGGCCTGGAAAAGCCATGAGCCATAGCCTTGGGCAGGACATTTAATCCATTTGTTTCCTTAATCTGTTGTCCCTCTCTTTTCCCACTCTCTGTAGTAAGTCCAGCTGTGGTCTAGCCTTCAGTTATCCATTCTCCTGCATCAGCCTTTGCATGCTGAACTCCCAGGACTGCCGCAACGCTCCTTTTCTTTCTTGATCATCTGTATGTGAAGGGTTAATAACCCCGAAGCCTCAGGGGGAATGAGGGAATCCGGACAGGAAGAGATGTGGTGCAGTTGTTTAGGATCAGAGAGGCCTCCACCAAAATCCACCAGCATCGGCACACAAAATCTCCTCCCCCCCAACACAAAGGTCCCACTTCTACCCTACAAAACCCGGAGCTCCTTGTGCCCCGGGGCACAGTCTCCACTAACAACGGCTTTCCTCACTGATGTAAATAAACGACAATTCTGCTTCTGCGAGAGGCCCGAGAGGCCCGTCTCTTGTTTCTACATCACCTCAGTCAATCCTGATTAATGTGCAAGCGTTGGGAGTGTGTGTGTTCATGAGCTCTCACGTGTACGTGTACTTGAGTGTGTGCACGTATGTGTATTGTGCACTCACACACGCACGCGCCTGTGTGCGTTAGTGGGTGCATGCAAGTTACCACGTGGGTTCTGGAAACGGAACCAGGTTTCCCTGGAAGTACAGCCAGAGCTCTTAAACACTGAGCCAGCTCTCCAGCCCTCCCCAGGGACAAAGTCTGACTGTGGAGTCCTGGCTAGCCTAAAAATTGCTGTATAGACCAGGCTGGCCTGCAGTCTCGAAGCTCCACCAGCTCGAGTGCTGGGAGTAGAGGAAAAAAGAACACCTAGTGTTCTTTTTTATTTTTTTGTTAACATTTCTATGTGTTCCTGAGCATGGATCTGTGCAGAGTCCCCAGCATCCTTGGTGCAGTCTCTAGCCCTGTGGTGTTGATTTCCTAAGGAACACTTTCTTCGCCCTCTTGTGGATCTTTACCTGTACGTTTAGAGAAACACATAACACAGCAAAGGTACAGTCTTGCTGAACAATGAGAGGTTAGCGTGGCAACGAGCTCAGCCCTGGGGTGACATTTTGCCTTAGGTGTAAGTTAACACATATTGCACAAGAAACTAATAAGCCAGTTAGAAGAAAGATGGGCATAGCTAGGCATAGTGGCCACCCCGTAACAACAACACCGAGGAGACCAACGTGAGGGAATCACGAGTTCAAGTCCAGCCTTGGCCTCAAAGTATGACGACGACAACGAAAGAGTGAAAACTCTAAACAGGAGATGAGAAGATGGGGGGCATCAAAACTGTTTTGAAGGCTGCCTTGGACGGTGGTTACCTGAGAGGGCATCTGGGACCCCCACCACCCAAAGGCTGACTGCCAACCTTGCCGTGACCTTGACAGATGGCTCCTTGTAATATCCAGTGCTGACCTGTCCAGCCTACGCTCCGATCCCGGAAATCGAGCCTTGCCGCTGCCTTAAAAGTGACGCGGCTTGGTGGTACAGCCCGGGGGTTGTCCTCCCAAAAGGCCCTGGGTTGCGGAGGCAACCCACAAGAGAAAAGAGCAGGAAACGGAGAGGGTATGTCTGAGAACTCTGAGCATTTGGTTAGAATTTTCTGTAATCCTAGAATAGTCACGTCAAAAGTTAAAGGAAAGCAAACCAGTTAAGGTGTTGTTTTTAAAAGGAGAGAACACGGTTAGCGCCTCCTAAAATGTTTGCAGGCGCTGGAAGCCGTGCTCAGGACCCATCAGCCACTTTCTGTAGTTTTCTGACTAAGTTTCCCCTCTTTTCCACCATGTACAGATGGCTCTTAAAGCCTGATGTCTAATAGCTCTTTCCACGAGAAGAAAGCCTGAAAAAAACAGATCTGTTTCCCTGTGAGTTCTTGCCCTGGAAGGATCCTAAGAAAACCTCTGGTTTGGAGAGACCTTGTCAGAAGCCACGTAGGCATTGGCTGCCTGGGCCTGGCTGATTTGCATAGTCCCGCCCTACCCGGGAAATCGAAACTGAAAATCTCTCTTCTGCACAGCCAACCTGGCAGACACAGACTTGCAGCTGAAGAGGAAAAAGATTTTGGTCAAGGATGGGGCAGGGACTCAGCAGAATCCCGGCCTCAGACCTGGACAAGTTCATAGAGGATCACCTCTGTCCTGACACCGGCTTCCGTGCTGACGTCAGAGCAGCCATCGACATCGTGTGTGCTTTCCTGAAGGAGAGATGCTTCCAAGGAGCTACCCACCCTATGAGGGTCTCCAAGGTGGTGAAGGTGAGGCCCCCTGCAACCTGAGCTGACCCAGATGGGTGGGACGGGACTCTCAGAGGCCATGCTGCCTCCCTGATCCCACCTCCTCACCTCTGATCCCAGGTCCCACGTCTGTCTTGGAAAAAGAGCCTCAGCTACAGTTTATGTCCCCTCCCAGGCCACATCCATCTCAGAGTCAGGGAAGCTGAGGCCCAGCTTGGAGAAGCAGTGTGCGGGGAGTGGTGGTCTGGGGAGCCAACCTGTTCGCTGTGTGACCTTGGGGAAGTTAGCTACCTTCTCCATGCACACATCCCAAGACGGCACAGCACACAGACTAAGGCAAATGTGACACGGAAGACGGAACAGGACCCCACCTGCTACATGACTAGCTTGCTGGACCCTCACTGGGCTCTGCTCAGGGTCTGTCAATAGGACCTCATGGCAACAGTACCTAACTCTCAGGCACTGTGGAGGCTGCAGAGATGAAGCTGTTTTCTTTTCTTCTGTTTCAAGTTGACTTCATTTTCATCTTTTCAGTTTTGTGGGTGGGGGCTGGGTGCAGGCCAGTGCAGGTGTCCTCAGAATCGCAGAGTGGGCACCAGATCCCCTAGAGCCGCAGCTACATGGGTGGCTGTGGGCTGGCCTGCTCGGGTGCTGGGAACGACACTCAGCCCTCTGCAAGGACAGGCACTTTGAATTACCCAGCACCCTCTGCATCCCCAGATGTGACGGTGTGTAATGTCCCCTCTCGCCACCGGCTGGTGCTCGTGTGTGTGAGGGTTTCATCTCAGCATTTTGTTCAGGGAGGCTCTTCTCAGCATGACTCCTTCTTTTTAAAATATTTCTCTTACAGATGTGTGTAAGACAAATTTAAAAAAATTGTCGGAGGCTCTATGACTTGATGTGGTACTCTATGCTACATGAGACTATTTTTCTTGTCAATGACGTCATTTCAGCAGATTTCCAACCCAACAATGATAACAATGGGATCATGGCAACAGTTTCATACACCTGAATCTATTTACTTACAGTCCCCTTCCAGAACTACCCTCCTGTACTCCCCGCCAGGACCTCCTCCAGAGAGCCTCCCTCTGATTGCGTGTCACATGTGTGCAGCTGGATCTAGACTCCACCTGAGAGAAAACGTGCCTTTTTGTCTTCCGTTACCCTCCCTTGCTCATTTTCTTTAGACCCCTCCCCCACTTCCCCAGACAGTCTCCCTTCTATTACACACACACATACACATAGGCACACACTTAAATCTAGACTCCACAGATAAACATGGGTGTTCATCATTCTGAGTCTGGCTTATCTCCTGTACCATCAGGAGATCCAGAAACATCTATCTTCCTAGCTGGATCCTGATTTCTCTCTTCAGGACTGACTAGTATTCCACTGCACATGTGCCAGCTTTCTTCCTCCTTCCGTCACCCTGGGCTGTTCAGGGTCTGGGAAGACAGACAGACATGTGTCCCCCTGTCACTGTCATTCTTATTGTCTTTCAGGGTGGCTCCTCGGGCAAAGGCACCGCGCTCAGGGGCAGATCAGATGCGGACCTGGTGGTGTTCCTAAACAATCTCACCAGCTTTGAGGACCAGTTGAACCGACGAGGAGAGGTCATCAAGGAAATTAGGAAACAGCTGTACGAGTTGCAGCGTGAGAGGCATTTCACAGTGCGGTTTGAGGTCCAGAGTTCATGGTGGCCCAACTCCCGGGCTCTGAGCTTCAAGCTGAGCTCCCCGCAGCTCCAGCAGGAGGTGGAGTTTGATGTGCTGCCGGCCTATGATGTTCTGGGTAAGCCAGCCACAGAGCCGCAGCCTGTCCTTCCTCAGGCTTCCATCCTCTCCTCTCTGTGTCTCTGTCTCTGTCTCTGTGTCTCTGTCTCTCTTTCTATGTCACATGTGGGTACACTTGTGTGAGGGTGTGATCCTAAATTTTGGCTAACACACAACGTTTTTGGAGACTTCATGTCTCCCTGGTTCAGAATTCCACAACTGAGCTTGACTGTCTGGGCAAAAAGCCCCTGGGACCCTCTAGTCTCCACCTCCCCAGACTGGTATTACAATCCTACCCCACCACTCCCAGCTTTTCCCTGAGTCCTGGGCTTCCAACATGGGCCCTCACGCTTGTGAGCCACGCACATGACTGACTGAGCCATCTCCCCAGCCCACACCTCCTACTCCTGAACTGAAAGCTCTGAACATTTGAGAAATTCACCTGCACAGAGTATTCCTTTAAAGCTGAGCTGGGGAGGAGGGATTTTAGAATTTTGGGAGTGGGGATTCGAATCCATCACAGAAGGACATTAAGCAGCCATGGTCACAGTTTGGGGTAAAGGCACCTTAGGCATCCCTTTAGACTACCAGCACTATTCGAGGCTGGCTGTGGACTTTGTCTTTCTACAGAGGATGCAGCATAGACCTCACTGAAATTAATAACTAACAGATGTTCTCCCAGCCAATGGGGACGTCAGACCTGTGCAGAGGCCTGGGTGTCTGGGGGAAGGCTTCTACAGAATGGGGACTTCTCAGAGGAGCTCTGTCTCCCTCAGGAAAATTGCAAACAGAGCCCCCACCATCCCAGCCTCCCACATGCACACATGTGTTATATCATTCAAAAGTAAATGCTCCTCCATGTCAAGACTGTATACCAGGCCTGACACACAGTGTCTCCAAATTACAAATTTCCCAAATCTGCCCAAAGACAACCAGGAACACCCCAAAAGCACAGTGGGGACTTGGGGAGCTGAGAGAATACTTGAGGCTTTACAGCTGGGGAAACACAGCACCCCCTATTGGCCACTGTGTGAACTGCTGCTACTAACTTAGAGACAAGGCTACTAGCCCTTGGCTTAGGAGAGCCATGGAAACAGTACAGTCTGAGGCAGCAGGGAAGGAGAGGGCCAGCCTGAGAGCAGGACCAGGACAGCGTGCTGTGGGAAGCTGCAAGAGGCTGAGAAACTGCTCAGTGGAGGAGCCGGAGGAGTGGGAGAGGGGAGAAATGACCTGGGAGGGAGGGTCCTGCAGAAGCCTGTCTAGGTCATAGCTTCCCAGCCTGAGGCAGCTTTCCAGTGGGGAAAGCAGGTCTGCCACAGAAGGACCACTTTGGGAATGGCAGTGTGGGCGACAGCCAGAGAGGACCCCAGTCCTAACTTTAACCAAGATGACTTCGCCCATGAGCTATGTGCTGAGCACTATAATTGAAGGAAAACAAATGAGGGAGACACCTCCCCGGGTCCCTGCCTGAATATGTGTGTCCCAGCTTCCATCAGTGAGGGATTTGGCCCTGTGCCAGCATCATAGCCTGATGGCATGACCTACTACAACCACAGCCAAAATCCTACACATGCATAAGGCACGGGCTGCTGCCTGCCTAGGCTCCTCAGATGTGCACAGGCACCCCCACACAGCCACACAAACACACAGCCACACACACACACACACACACACACACACACACACACACGTGCGCACGCGCCTTGCTGCTCTCAAGACTCCTACAATCAAAGCCACATGACAATAAGTGAGGCGCTACAGAAAACCATTCACTGCAGACACAGTGGCCGGGGAGACAGTCAGTGGATAAGGGCAATTGCTGCACAAGCATGAGGACATGAGTTCAAATCCCCAGAACCTACCTAAATTAGAAAGTGCCTCACATTGACCTGTAACACCAGCACAATGGGGCAGAGACAGGAGAATCTCCGTGGACTGCTGGAGGCCAGCCAAGCTCCAAGTTCACAGAGAGACCCTGCCACAAAGGGAGAAGGTGACAAACTATAAAGGAAGAGGCCAAATGTCCTCTTCTGCCTCTGAACACATGCAGATACCTCGTGACCACAAAATAGGGCCGAGAAGCAAGCATAAGATACGCAATGAAGAAATGCAGCATAGTGAAGTTCCACACCAGCAGCAGTGTAGACAGATGACAAGAACCGTGCGAAGATCCTGGAGCAGGACATGGTTGGCCACTATGATGCTGTGCTGCTCTCTTGCATGTGGCACGGTGCGCTGTTTCTCCCACCCCTGTCTACGGGATGTGAGAAGGGCACTGCGCTAGGACCAGCAGGGGGCAGGGGCTTTCCAGGGCCCCATCATGGCTGCAGTCCTGAGGTGTGGTGGGGCACATGGCTTTGTGGGGAGCGATGCTTGATCTGGTAAAGGCCTGCCCTGTTCACTGAACCCCAATCCGCTGATGGTCACCCCCACCCAGAGACTGAGGAGCCTCAGAGAAGGGCTGAGAGGCTGAATGAAGGAAATCTCCGTTACAGGTCACGTCAGCATCTACGGGAGGCCTGACCCCCAGATCTACGCCAGACTCATCAGGGAGTGCAATTCCCTGGGGAAGGAGGGCGAGTTCTCCACCTGCTTCACAGAGCTGCAGCGGAACTTCCTGAAGCAGCGTCCAACCAAGCTGAAGAGTCTCATTCGCCTGGTCAAGCACTGGTACCAACTGGTAAGGCATCTGGCCCAGCTACTGTGGGCCCCTCTGTAGAGAGTGTGGACACAGGAAGAGAAGAGAAGGAGTGTTCTAGTCTGTTGTCTGTTGACCTGATATCTGTGTCACATGACCAAAAGTCGCTTGACAAGGAAAGAGGTTATTTGGTTACATGTCCCAGTCAGAGCCCATCATTGAGGGAAGTCAGGGCAGTAACTGAAGCAGAGGCCTCTCGGCTTATCCCTAAGATCTCATGTCAGCATTACATCACAAATCATAATATAGCTTTATAAATCCTAAAATTAAAAAAATAAAAAAAAAAACCAACTCCAGGACAAAGATTAGTGTCTCAACTGTGGGCGCATGTAAAATTAAAAACTCAAGTTAAATAATTTCACACCCCAATAGGAAAGAACCAGGGCACTGTCACAACCAGAGCAAAACAACACCAGAGCCCAAAAGAACGAAAAGCTCAGTATGTGATATCTGGGACTCACCATTCTCTGAGCTCCAAACAGCCTGGACAGTTGTGCTTCTCGGGCTCTGCACCCACAGCACCCACAGCTGCTCCCACAGGCTCAGGCAGTTGCCTCACGCTCAGGGAAAGTCCAGGATCTTGGGGTCTGCAGTGCACTCGAGTCTGCACTTTCCCCAATGGCTTCTCCTGGCCTCTCTCAGTGCCGGCCCTCAGCTGCTCTCCATGACCCTTCAGTCCTGCAGCTTCCATGGGGCTAAAGCTGGACCACCTGGGAGACTGCCCCGAAGTACCAGGTGTGGCTGCCATCTGCAGATTCGGTCTTGGTCCCCTGGAGCACAGCTTCTGTTGGCTGACCACAAGGAAACTCTTTCCAGAACACTTGGCCTCCATGCTGCAGGTCTCTTCTTAATCAGAGCTGATTTCCATCCGCAGCTGAGGAGAAACCGTTGCTTCCTCATCCAAAGAGATCGCAGAAACAGCCCAGATAGAGTCCTTGCTTCTCTGCAACTGCACACACCGGCCTCAGCCTTCTGCCTTCCTCTCTGCATTCCTATCTTCCAAGTTCCCACAGGCAGCCCATTAGGCTCTAAGCACTCAACAGCTACCACCCAAAGTCCCCAAATCCTTTGACAATCCTCCCAAAGAGCAGCATGGCAGGGCTGTCACAGCAGAAGCCCCCTCTCTAGGACCAATTTCTGTCCTAGTTTGCTCCTGTTGCTCTGGTAGAGACGATGGTGGAAAGCATCTTGGGAGGAAAAACAATGATCTGCCTTACACTCCTAGATTGCACTCCATCACTGATGGAAGTAGAGGAAGCAACTGAAGCAGAGGCCAGGGAGGAACTGTGCTTGCTGCCTGACACCCTTGGCTGTGTCTTTTTTTTTTTTTACCTGCCTTTAAAAAACAACTCCTGACCACTTGCCCAGGTGTGGCAATGCCTACAATGGGCTGGGCCCTCCCACATCAATCACTGATCAAGAAAATGACCAACAGGCTTGCACACAGGATAGTCTTAAGGAGGCTTTTTCTCATTTGTGGGCCCATCTTCTCAAGATGACCCTATCCACGTTGCTTTGCAATAATGTAAAAAAAAAAAAAAAATGGCACAATTGGTGAGAAAAAGAAAAAGTGGGTGGAAGGGAAGCAGAACAGAAAGGATGAAAGAGAATCAAGGGGTGAGGACTTTCCATGATAGTTCTAACTGATTTCACTAGTCCATTTTCCAATCAGCTAACTCTCTCTTCAGCCATGTCAAGTCCACTGTTCTCTAGTTGCTGTTTCATTTGTGTTGTTGGATTTTCCTTTCATCTGTGGCAAACCCTTCATGTCACTTTTTATTGCTTTGATTACTCTTGCTTGTCAAGCTATTCTGTCGTTAAATGTGTGATTTCTTGTTATATTCTGAATTTTTGTGTGTTTATTTATGCACGTTCATGGGAGCACATGCGTATTTGTGTGCATGTGTTTCTATTGGCGTCTGAGAGCAGTGATGTGAGGTCCTCAGTCACTCTCCACCTTATATAAGCAGTCAGGGTCTCACACATGAACCCACAGTGTGCTGAGTCAGCAGGTCTTGGCAGTCATACAGCCCTGAGGAGCCCCACCTCCATCCCCTCAAGATGGGATTATGAGTTGGTTTCCTCAAGAGCCTGACCCTCGGGTACACGTGGGGGCTCTGACCTCTAGTTCTCACCCTTGCACTGAGAGGAGGCACCTGACCCACTGAGCTGTCTCTCTATCGCTTCCCCGTTACTTCAGAACCCATGATAAAACCTTCAATCCTTAGCATTCATTGCTACCTCATTCCCACCCTCACTCCCCAGCTGTCACTGATGGTGTCATGATTCCTCCTGTGCCTTCTAGTAAATGCTCAGTCCTTTCGGACCACACAGTGTCCACCTCAACCACTCAGCTCTTAGCACAGGAGGGTCCACAGACAGAATCTAAAGGAATGGGTGAGGCTGTGTGACGATGGACCTGTCATGCCAACATCAGGAGGAAGCTGAATTGAGCCAATGGGAAGTGGCCCCTCCACAACAGCTAG